TAAAGGCCCTGCCCGTTTCCGTTCCCTCGACTTCGGCGAACGGAACGGTTACCTCAAGGGTGTCATAACGGAGGTTATTCATGACCCAGGTAGGGGTGCTCCGTTGGCACGTGTCACTTTCCGTCACCCGTTCCGTTACAAGCACCAGAAGGAACTGTTCGTGGCTGCTGAGGGTATGTACACTGGCCAGTTCGTTTACTGTGGGAAGAAGGCTACTCTCATGGTTGGGAATGTGCTCCCACTCAGATCTATCCCTGAAGGAGCTGTCGTTTGCAATGTGGAACACAAAGTTGGTGACCGTGGTGTTTTTGCCAGGTGCTCTGGTGATTATGCTATTGTCATTAGTCACAACCCCGATAACGGAACCACCAGGTATATATTAATCGCTTCTTTTCTTAATGTGTTGTTTTTAGTTAATATTAGTATTTAATCAGTGACAAGTGCTTATAATGCTTTACTTGGCTGTGTAATCTGGTGCTTATAGTACTTCTCTACATGATTTTTTGGCACGATTATGTTATAATTGTCGATTGGTTGGGTAGATACTTTAGGTTTAATAAATAACCTACTGGAAAAACAACCTACGCAGAGTAAGTAGCAGTATGTTTTAATCCCAATTGATCTGATTTTGTTGTGCATTTTTTGGTCGACAGCAGTATGTTTTATTCCCAATTGATATGTGCATATCTCGAGCCTTGTTACTGAAGACTCTTAGTTGTTAGTCTGTACCTTTGCATTTGTTGAAGGAAGGTTGTTTTTGCCAGCAAAGCAAAGTCCACTTAATAGTGAAACTTTGCTGTCTATAATGTCATTTCTGCCAACTTATATCTGTTATTTTAGAGTCCCTTTGATATTTTAGGTTTGGACATTTGATCAGATGTGTTTGCTCTATTATCAAAATTATGAACACAGTACTATGTTTCATCTTTTTATGAACTGACAGTGCTGGTTTATCCTGGTTACAACACTATCCACTTTTTTGTTCAGCACTTTCTGTTGAATTGTGTGAAACACTTTTAACTTTTGTTTGCTCCATTATCAAAATTATGAACACAGTATAATGTTTCATCTTTTTATGAACTGACAGTGCTGGGTTGTCCTGGTTAAAACACTGTCCACTTTTTTGTTTTACAGTTTGTGTTGAATTGTTGAAATACATTCAACTTTCCTTGTATATTGTTATCGCCATTTAACCTATAATGTGTTCTAGTTTGCATATTCTTGTGACACTGTTGGTCACACACTCGACAAGAAAATTTAATTGAGTCAATTTTACTTTTGACAGGATTAAGCTGCCTTCAGGATCCAAGAAGATTGTGCCCAGTGGGTGTCGTGCTATGATTGGTCAAGTTGCTGGAGGAGGACGTACTGAGAAACCAATGCTTAAGGCCGGTAACGCATACCACAAGTACCGGGTAAAGAGGAACTGCTGGCCCAAGGTTCGTGGTGTTGCCATGAACCCTGTGGAGCATCCTCATGGTGGTGGTAACCATCAACATATTGGTCATGCTAGTACTGTCCGTCGTGATGCACCACCTGGTCAAAAGGTCGGTCTTATTGCTGCAAGGAGGACTGGTCGTCTTCGTGGTCAAGCTGCTGCTACAGCTGCCAAGGCTGACAAAGCTTAAAAAGTTTAGCTTGTTACTGTTTTGCCCTACTTGTTTCCTGATTAAGACTTTTTATTTAACTATTTGGTGCTGAAATTATACTAAATTTTGTGGGGATGTTGAGTAGCAAATTTGTTTTAGATATCCATATTTGGACAAGTTTGCCATTTACTGTTTTGATTCTTTTAGCTCCTACTGTTTTCCTTGATTTCATCTTTCTTTCTTCTGTCAGTGCATAAAGTTTGATGCTTCTTTACCTACTAATTCTAGTTATTTCTGCATTTGTAAAGGCCCCAGTGGTTTTTGTGGACTAGCTGTTTGCATTATAAATCAGTTTGATTGATGGTTGTTCCTTTTGGTGCTTAAGTTGAGTTTGAGGCAGTGACATTTGTGTTAGTCCCGCCAATATTGCGGGACTTGAGCATCATATGTAGCCAAACCCTGACCACAAGGCAGTCGCCTCCACAAGGTAGCCGCCTAATTGATTGATTAATTTTTTGGACCAAATTTATTTGTTAATAGTAAATATTAACGTAAGATTATCCGCATTTGTAACGGATATTTTCCAATCTGTGTATTGACCACAAGGCAGCCGCCTAATGCTCTTCCCACAAGGCAGCCGCCTAATTCAAACAGGAGTTGAATTTCTGTCACAGATAAAACCTACTTGGATATGATATGTTTGTATTTTCTTTTCAATTAGCTTAGTTCTACTAACTATATTAATCATGAGTTTCTACTAGAAGCTTTATTCTTTTATTAAAAAAAAAACTCGGTACTTTAAGGTGGTGGTATTTCAGTAGTCATTTAGGCTTTTGCTACTTTTGGTTAAGCACACTGATTTTTTCCTTTTTGTGCTTGTTGGGTAGGATTAAAGTTATTGAAGATCCATTTTGACAGAGAGAGCCGGGGTAACATGTGGCTTTCTCTATCAAAGATTTTGAGTTCCAATTTGAATCAATCTGTAAATATCTATGGAGAAGCAGGACACGGAAGTTCTTAGATTTAATATTCTGTCTCTTTCAAAATTCTATGGTTGGTCGTCGAATTTAATGTTTTCAATACCATACCAGCATACCTAGATATATTTTAATCCTTTTTCATGTGTGTATTTAGACGTTGAACTAGTGATCTTTAATCCGTATTACTACTACTGGTCACAGGTGGCTAAAGATGAAGCATTTTCTCTGAATGTATGAAGAAGAATGTCCCTTTTCAAAACAAAAAGAAAATGTATGAAGTAGAATGTGCCTTAATTCTCAAGTAACTTGATATGTGCCACTGAGAGTAACTAGTCACGGTAGCTGATTTCAAGCTAATCGTTTCTGGATTTCATTTAATGGAAACAAGTGTTATTGCTCGATTTCACCCATGTGGCTCCTGTAACAGGCATCCTTGTCTCCAGCATGGTGTGTAATAGTGATTGATAGGCGGGTGTTTGTAAATTACTGAATTTGTTATTTGAGTAGTAGTACTACCAAGTACTGCATTCAATTACCCAACCGAAAAAAAAAATAGACAAACAAAAACCAAGTACTAAATGTTGGAATCCTTCTTGTTACTCAATAACATCATTTCATAGAATAGCATGATAAAAATCAAAGATTATGTCCAATTTGAAGCGATCTCAATTGATCCCTCGTTACTTCAAGTGCGTTGCAACGTGCTAAAAATCAATAGAAGAAGCGTGTCAAAAGGAAGGGTGGGGATACACTAACTGTATATAGTTACAGCGCATCTAAGGAAATTTAGTGCACCTTAGAATTGTTGTTGACTTTAAAATAATAAGCATATATATCGAGTAAAAAAATACTGACTTAATCTTGAGTGTTCCTTAAAGCATAATAATCAATTCGATATTGATGGTTTAAATTTATTTTCTGAATTAAAAGTGTTAAGAAAAATAGTACAATTAGAAGATAACAATTTAATTGATATACTCAATCAAATAAAAAGATTTGATTCTTTTCCAAATGCCTATATTGTTTATAGAATCATGTTAATAACTCATGTTACCTTACTTCAGCATAAAGAAGTTTTTCAAAATTAAAATTGATAAAATCTTAACTAAGCTCAATAATATCTGAAGAGAGGTTAAATAAATTAACTATATTGTCAATTGAGAAAGAATTATTAGAAAAAAATTAATTATAAAAAAATTCTTAATAACTTTGCATCTAAAAAAAACTAAAAATATGGATTTCAAATTAAAAAAAAAAAAAAATTTAAAAAAAATTAAGGCCCCTCATAAAATTTAGCTTTAGGTCACAAAATTCGTCGGGCCGCCCATGGTTATTAGCATAATCTCTGTTGGCTATTATTTGAATTTATTAAATATTTATTTCTTTTAAGTATGGATCATATGTAAATTAATGCGTGCATTAGGGCATATTATTTACATCATACTTTTTAATATGCGGCCTTTTTTCGAATCCAAATACTATGGTTACGGGACCACTTTTTTTTATGGATCATATCTATATTTAAAATTGCCGGAGTAATCAATTGACATTCTTGGATAAGATTCAAATATATCTATTTTTGATGTAGCCAACAACGTGGATATCCACTCTCTAATACTTGCTTCGGTAACTTGTCTGAATTGTTAATTTTTAAGGTTTTATTAAAATGCATTGTATGTGAGCGTGAAAATAAAACCTGAGAGGAGTAATTGCTTTTCTCGTTCCTTCATTTCGCTATTCGGCATTCGCCCTAATCATCTACCGATAAATTACCTTCCCGTTTTATCTTTTCTCGACAAGAATTTTCACTTTTAACATACACTACCTTTTTTTAGAATAATGGGAATCCTTTCTTGTCAAGTCATGTTTGAATGTTAGGTATCTAAATATTCTTATGGTTAGAGCATATGATATGATGTTCACATTGAATATGTATGGGTACTCAAAATGGTTTATAGAGGTCTTATATATCATGAAATCTGTTGCCTTAAAGTGAGCTACATATTCGACTGACTTCCATTCTCTCAGACCAAATATTTAGCAACATATGTCATAGATTTTGGGCGTATATCTAGATGCTTTATTTTTCGTCTTAATGTACGGCAAGAAATGAAAGAATTAAGAATGTAAAATTAATGTTTTTACACTTGAATGTATATTAACTAGTTGTAGCTAGCGAGTAAGTTATTTCATTTCCAAGTTACTAATGTACATCTTTTATGACGGTTAACTATAATTTCCTTTAGGTGAGTTAATGCTAGTGTCTAAATGTTCAACTCTTGGAAAGAATAAGTTAAACAAAATATATATGAATAATTAAGATGGATATAAGTAGAAGTTGATAAATGACAAGAATGGGATAGGAGAGAAAGGACAATAACCACCAACTACCTTTGGGTCCCCTGTTAATAACTCCGGAGTTTTATCCTTGGGGCCAGGCACGAAACAGAGAGAGATGCAGAGCGAAACAGGGGGTCAGCTTTAAATACAAGCTTAATCTGAATATCTAAACTCTGTTACCCCCCCAAAATGAAGTTCCTTCTGGAACTATTTGCCTGCTGTGGCTGTTCTTCACGTTTGCCCCCTGCAGAGGACAGTGGACCTCTTGTTCCTGGTCCCGCTCCGCCTACTAACCGTAAGAACAGACGGCGGAGGAGAGGGAGAGGTGCGCCACCGAGATGTGGTGGTTCCGTCGCTAATTGGAGGCCGTCCCTTTCGGCCATTTCCGAAGACAACGCTCTGCCACCGAGGAATGTGAAGAGAAAGGTCTCAACTGCTTCCCCACCGGCCACTCAACCCCGTCATCATCGCTGCGATGACACCAGGTAAATCTGTTTAATTGTGTAAACATCTTAATAAATTATTTATTACACCTTTATCTTGAACATGTAAAAAAATCTTTATGCTGATAATAGATTATTGCAAAAACTTGAATGGACTTCAACGTGCTCTAATATCATGTTTAGTACGTTCTACTTCTTTGTCCTTTCTTTTTCTTCTTTAGCTTTCGCAATTCACGATCTTGAATTCATGATCTTTCACTTGTAAAAGTAAATCTTTTATGAGAAAAAAAAAATAGGGTTATAAAATTAAACAAGTTTGTAAAGAACTACAAAACTAACTTATGAAAATACATACCCGCTTACTCTTCGAGAGTTGGTAGAAACACATTTATTGCAATAATTTATATAAATTTTCTGAAAGGAAAGCGATGATGCAGTGAATGAAAACTAGCATCCTTTAAATGTTCAAAGCTTAGATAAATTTGTGTAAACTTAATATCGAAGTGAAACAACTAATAAAGGAAATTAATCTGACAAAATTCATAGTTGTTATGCAAAAGACTAGTTGGTGCAACAACAAATTCTGTGTGGTATTTCAAGTTATCTTCTTCTTCTTCTTCCGCTTTCATGGCTTAGTCACAAACTAACAAATTTCTTTTTCTCTTACGTACTAATACTTGTGCAGGAGAGTTCCCGTTTCAGCGTTGGCGCCAGCTTTCCCCCCAACTCCTTTCTTATTTTAATTTGGACTGCTCAACGTATCCTTTAATTTCCTCTGTAACCTTTGGGGCTCTTTTAGTTGTTTACATGTATGCTTATCTCTCTCGTTTCCTGCTAATTTCCATTTGTCTTCCCCCTTTTTTCCTTCAATTTTTCTTGAATTACGACGAGAATAAAATTAATTATTTGCAGATAATCCACTAAAACTACTGATGAGTTACCATAAACCATAAAATGCAATTGAGTTGCGGAACCAAATGTACCGCAAAATTTGTTCTAAACAACTGTACTGATCCAATCCAACTGCTGTGAAGGCGTAATTTGGCTCAATACGGTTAAATTAATCCTAGGGAAATTGGCTCAAAAAGGCTTCTCTATGTATATATTTGTAAAGAAAGAGCAAGTGAATCACTACTCCGTTTTTTGAACCCTTTACATGCCAGTACCATATGAATAAAAGAAGGGACTGATTTATGACACTATTAAATAGGGTTGGATAATCCTATTCACAGTTGTGCAACAGAGCTTTTCTTAGTTTCAGCTCTAAGCCTTTAACATTCCTTTTCTCATATTTGTCAACATTTTGTGTTTAATTTGAATCTTTTCTTAATCATCATGTGAAACACTCAAACATGCATCGGTTCCTATCTGGAGTAAACTCTATGTATAGTGCATAAAACCGTTTTAAGTAAAGGATGTTAAGAGTTGAATCAATTAAGTATATCAGTTTAGTCTTGTCAACTTCCATCTTGAATCCATGCAGTAACACATTAGTAGAAAAATGGTTGTTAAAACAAAAAAATGACAACAATTTTTTACTTTTTTTTATTAGCTTTTGGTAGTATGATTCAAATATTCGACATCAAATAACATGGGAAAACGGGCTATTTTAACACTCAAAAACAAAGTGATACAAAAATGGTATGTAGAAGTCTAAGAAATTTCACTAGTTAACTTTGACAAAATATCATCTAAAAAATCCCTCATCTTTGTTATACATGGATAGAGCTACTCCACGACATTGCAGAAGCAAAGACATTTAAGAAAAAGTATTTATTAAATGGATTAGGACAATATTCCCATAACAAAATATGAGCAGAGCATAAAGAAACATGTGGCATTATAATCAAATAGGTACAGAACAATTAAAAGATTAACTTTGTCAAAGCTAATTCGAGTCTTTCAACTCCTCGAATAACTATTTCAATTGCCGTTTTTTTTTCTTTTTCCACCGAGTGTCTGGTACCTTATTGGGACCCGACTAAATCCGGATTCGCGCCGGGAAGACCCACATTGAGGGATAAAACGCTCCCTAACAAAGGTGACTTCATACCCATGGACTCGAACCCGAGACATCTGGTTAATGATGAAGGAGTACGTACCGCTCCACCACAACCCTTAGCCTAATATATTTGATAACATGTCCATCTATACATATTGGTTCAGACCAACGCCCTGATAGAAAAGATGGCAAAAACAGTCCTACAACTAATTATAATATCTTATGTTCAAATGAACTAAATAAATAAAGGAATGACAACATTAATTGTAAACATAAACCAGAAAAGTTGAGTTTGTTCTTTGTTCCTGCTGTTACAAAACTGGCTCATATTTTTCCTTATGGTTTGCGAAAGGTTCATTTTTGCCTCTTTTTCACTAACAAAGCCATTAGAAAAATAAAAATAAAAAATAAACATGGAAAAGGCCCAAAATTACCCCTCAAATTTGTGAAAGGTTTACTTTTGCCCTAAATATATATTAATTTGATTAATATTTACCCTTTTCACTAAGGGACCCATTTTGAACCTCAATTTTTTACATATTAAAATCACAAAATGATACTTTAAAATTAATTAAAAATTCATGAAAATTCTCAATTAAAAATAAGAAACTTTAAAAAATGGAAGAACTAAACACACGTCATAGCTAAATTAAAACAAATATAACAACAAAAAAGCTACCAGAGTAAGCAAAACAAGGAATAAAGTGTCTGATTTTACAACTACTAATAAATAAACTACTAATTAAAGCAACAGTTATATAAAAAAAATCAAACGCATTTGTTTTGGGTTGAGTTAAACCTAAATGGGAGAGGGGACGGGGGGTGATTAATAAGAGAATATTCAATTAAATGTCAAGTATCATTTTATGGTTTTAAATTGCACAAATTGAGGTTCAAAATTGATCCCTTAGTGAAAAGGAAAATATTAATCAAATTATTATATATTTAGGGCAAAAGTAAAACTTTTACAAACTCAAGGGACAATTTTGGATCTTTTTCATATATATATATATATATATATATATATATATATATATATATATTTTAATAAGTCTGTTAGTGAAAAGGGCAAAAATGAATCTTTCTCAAAATCACATGGACAAATATGAGCCATTTTTGTAATGGTAGGGACAAAAAATTGCCCAACTCTAAACGGAGGGCAAAACTGCCCATGAACGTAAAGTTCATGGGCAACTTTGGCCATTTTCCAGATAATTAAGACACAACTGTAATAAATATATGATGATCACCGACGAACAATAAAAAATTAGGGGATAAATGAACTCAGGAGCGCGCATAATAAATTTGATATAAAACCCTAACGTAATAGACAAGCCGGAGAGTTCAACCTGCAGATATTCATTTAGTAGATATTAACCTTATTTATATAAATTATACAGTGGCCGAATATGCAACTACTATAAAAAATCTCAATGGGGAATTCAAACTGCAAGGAGAATTTGAGAGTGGATATATTTGACATGTCAAAGGTTTACCCTTTCATATGCCGCACGGTTAAAATTACATTATTAAAAAACTTTAACCTATATTATATAAAAATTACTTATAATTTTTAACAAATTATCTCTAAAGATTAATAGTTTGAATTTTTTTTTATGTAAATAGTCATCCACGCAAATAAAAAATCTTTGATTATTTAAGTTTTATAGTTTAAAATAAAAATTGTTTACAAGTAGTGTAAAAATATTAGTTCCTAAACATGCTCTGATACCACATGCAAAGATTTTTATTCCCTATATATATAGGAATTTATGCTTTGATACCACATGTTAATATTTTCAATATCTATTAGTGGTGTCAAATAAGCGAGTTGGACTAATTTTGAACGGATCAAAATAGGCCGGTCAATAAAGTTACTTGGGCTGAGACAGGTAATAGGAACAAACCATATTCCTTATAAAAGAAATAAAAGGAAGAAGACAAAAAAAGTGAAAAAGTCAAAGAAAAAGTAAAAGACAAATGAAAATGTAAGAATGGAAAGAAAGAAAACAAGAGAAGAAAGAAAAAGTCAGAAAAGTTAGACTGCAACCATATGAAAGAAAGAATTCGGTGCGCAATTTGCGGTGCCGTCCTGCCGCGTTTTCACATTTGCCGAAACTTTTTTCAGCAGACGCTCTACCTATAAATAGGCATTCTCTTCTTCGATTACAAATCATCCTCACAATTTCTTCTTTCTTTTCAGTAAAAAAAAGCTATTCTCTATGTGACCATGGAGTAGGCAAAAATTATCGAACCACGTAAATCTTGTCTTGTCTTATTTTCTGAAATTTATTATTTTTCTCTTTTAAAGTATTTTTTCCCTTCTATTAGCCTAACGCGCTTCCCAATAACTAGTATCAGAGCATAGACAATGTAATTCTGATAGAAAAGTACGGTATTAGTACAAGTACTAAACACAAGAATAGTGCGACACTATTGCTCATAAATACTAATACTATTTACAATAGTGAATTGATATTCATTACTAGTGATAGTATTGTTTGGGAGCATCTAATTTTTGAATATATTTAAAATTTTTACCACTTTTTTTAGTATTTAAATAGTTTTAAGATAAATTTTGATATTTTAGATTTTACTTAAGAAAATGAAAAAAATAAGATGAAAAGAAAAAAGGAAAAAATCAAGATAAGAAAAGAATGAATTTATTATGAAGTTAGACTAACGTTTCTTAATAAAAGGAAAGTTGCTTCTACTCTTTATAGGTGAACCCCTCACAAATGGACAAAATGAGTTACAATTCACCCGCACATGGACTGAGGGACAACACATTTTTTCTCAGGGATTTTTCTTATTCTCCATGTATATCACACACTTTTTGACTCACAAAAAGACAATGCACAATACACTTTTTGACTCATGGTATCCAATTCACACCCCCAAAACACTCTATAAAAACACACACTCATTTCCACACCAGAGGGACGGACCCTATTCCCGCTATTTTCTTTCTTAAAATGGAGCTCTATCACCCAAAAGTTGCATAGCTCCTTCCTCTAAAAAAATAAAAGCAACGGCTCTTTGTTCTTGAACAACACACAAAGCAAACAGATATGGGAAGCAAAAACAGAGGAGAGCACAATCCTCTTCTTCCTCATCGATTCATCATCATCATCTTCACACCACAAAGCCAATCTGAAACTTTCTTCTTCCTCCATGAAAGTCTAGGCATGAACACCCCGAAAATTCCTCAAATTCCAGTTCCAAAACACCTTTAAACCAGTCAAAAACGACATCCAAATCAGCCCCCTAAAACAGCCCCGAAGCCCCCTAATAAAACAGCTCGAAAACAACCCTCTTTTTCTCATAAAGCAGTAGTATTTTTGGGATCGAGTTCAGTTAAAGCTCCGATCGTTGATCGCTAGTTCCGTTCGAGTTCGCCGGCAAAGGTTCACGGTCTCTGTTTGAACCTTTGGTTAATATTTTCCACTGCTTTTGCGTTTCAAAATGGTTGGCATCAGATTTCATAATATAAAGGTCCATCTTTTATTTTATGTTTTCAATAAGATTGTTGTTTTGTTTATTTCCCCTTAATTACATGTTCCACTATTCCCTTGACTTGTTAGTCCTTTTTGGCTTATTTTTATTTAAGTATTTTATTGCTTTTTGTTTATTCTTTTCAAGTGAAACTAGTTTAATGCCATGTACTGTTGAGCTTAGTTTAATTAAATGTTTAAGTGAATGTGTTATACTTGTGCTTTATTTAATCAATTCCATAGTCTTTTATTTTTTTTATTCTTGTATTACTTTATATCTCTAAGATTTAAATAATTTTGACAATGGAAGAAAGAATGAGCTTTGAGAGTAAGTTTTATTAGTTTAATTTTCATATGCTATGCTGGACGTTCTTGTTATTAAAAAGCATGATTAATGATTTGTAGTTTCTTTCATACTGTTTGCATGACTAGTTCTAAGAATTATTTGTACTTTTTGTCTCATCTTTGGATAGTGATTTGCACATAATTGATCTTGTTCATATTTTCTTAGTTAAATCATACATTTCTTCCACAATGCCAATTCCATAATTCTCCTTCCTTATAATAATCTCAAATTTGGGGAGGGATGATTCTTGAATACGTTAGTATGATTTTAGGCACACTCTTAATTTCAAATTATCATGATTATGTATATGTTCGCGTGACATTATTACGATTTTCAAAATTAAAGGCAAGGTATGCGTTCGCGCAACTTTGACAGAACAATCTTAATAATTATAAAAGTG